AATTAGGTTTGAAGCACTTTAGTTGCTGTGCTTAGTGTTGGGGCTAAAAGACAAAGATACTATCCTCAACGTGCTCACATTCTAGTGGGTGAAAATATGTAAATAACTAGCTAGATGCAAGAACTATACGGAATGGACAGAAGGTAGGCTGAGAGGAGAAGGCACTGCAAGTTGAGGAATGGAGGGACCAGGAAAGGTCTCCTTCAGAAGCTGAGATTTGGACTGAAAGAAGTCATGGAAACCGAGTGAGAGGTAGCAAGCGGGAGCATTCAAGTTATGTGGGACAATAGATAAGTTCCAGGGAGTTGTGAAATACACACACACACACACACACACACACACACACACACACACATACATAGGTGCGCACAAGAGCACATACACACATACGTATATATTATATATACATATATACATACTCACGCATTTATGTTATGTGACTTGCCGAAGGAGGACATTACAAGTATCAGATTTGGAATGTGATCCCATGTCTTATTGACTACCAGTACAGTATCGTTATTCAGTTGTTTTTCAGTTATGTCTGACTCTTCATGACCCCATTCAGCGTTTTCTTAACAGATATATTGGAGTGGTTTGCTATTTCCTTCCCCAACTCATTTTACAGATGAGGAAACTGAGGTAAATAGGGTTAAATGAATTGTCAGTAAGTGTCTAAGGGCAGATTTGAACTCAGGAAGATGAGTCTTACTGACTCTAGTCCTGGCACTCTATCTACTCCAACATCTAGCTGCCCTACCAGCACAGTACTCCAACCATTACACCAACATGCCTGATGATGATGATGATGATGATGATGATGACGATGATGATGATGATGATGATGATGATGTAAGATTTCACTAGTTTGAATTATCTTCAATTAGTGGGGGGGGCATAGGAATGAGTCAGAACCCTGCATTACAGAATGCAAAAGAAGAGTTCTTTGATGAACTTGCCTCATTCATTTTATTCCTAAACACAATGCAGAATGTGGACTCTGATTTAAAATAATAAAACATTTTATTTGATACTGGAAGTCATCAAGCAAAGGCTAGATAAGCACTTCTTAGATTTCTTTCAGTGAGGATTCTTTTCAGTATTGAGTTGCACTGATGATGCTTTATGAAGACCTTTTCAACGCTCATATTCTGAGGTTTTGTTATTCCTGACGTTTGCAAAAATACATATATTTTCATGCTAAAACAAGAGGTCAAAAGATATGAGATAATTAGGATTTGGCTTAAGGAGGGAATAACATATACATTCAATTGAGTATGGAAATCTGTCTTACCCTACAGGAAAATAGGGGGAGAAGAGGACAAGAGAGCAGGGGGATGATAGAGAGGAGGGCAGATTGGGAAAGGGGGTAATCAGAAGCAAACACTTCTGAGGAGGGAGAGGGTCAAAAGAAAGAACAGAATAAATGGGAGGGCAGGATAGGATTAAGGGAAATAGAGTTAGTTTTTCACAATATGTCTACTATGGAAGTGTTTTGCATAATTGCACATGTATAACCTATATTGAGTTGCTTGCCTTTTCAATGAGGGTGGATGGGGAGGGAGGAAGGGAGAAAATTTGAAACCTAAAGTTTTAAAAACATATGTTTAAAAAAAATGTTTTCACATGCTACTGGGAAATAAGAAATACAGGAAATGGGTTACAGAAGTCTATCCTGCCCTACAGAAAAATAGAAGGAGAAGGAGATAAGAGACCGGGGGGGAGAGATAGAAGAGAGGAAAGACTAGGGGAAGGGGCATTCAGAATGCATGCCATCTTGGGGTGGAGGGAGGGGTGAGATGGGGTGAAAATTTGGAACTCAAAATCTTGTGGAAGTAAATATTGAAAACTGAAAATAAATAAATTTGTATTTGAAAATTTTTTAAAAATTTAAAAAGATATGAGATATTGTGGTTGGTGGAATAAGAAGTGAATTTGGAGTCAAATGACCTTGGACAAATCACATCTACTCCTTGCGTCTCAATTTCTTTATCTGAAAAATGAAAGGGTTGGGCTCAGTGATGAAGCAATAGCTACCTAATTTCTTGATCCATTAGATTAATAGAGAGCTGATTAATTATGATCCATTAATCATAAGCAAGAATAGCCTTATGTTCTAATAGTATAATTATGTATAATTAAAATGAGGTTCTATCCAACACTTCCATACTTTGTGGAGATTTCATTGCTGTAGACAATCTTGCCACCATTTCACAGAACAATTTTAGTAGCTTGGTAGACAGTTTTTGAAGATGGCTATAGCTAAAATATCCTTTACCCTTCAGACTGGCAGGTAATGAGCCTCTTTGAAGTTAGCTGGGCTAGTCCTTGGATAGCAGTCGAAGTCAGTAACATGGGATGCATGTAAAGCCTTTTTAGCCTGGTAGGAGCCACCAGAACTTGATCACCCTTTAGAAACTTTGAGAACCTAAGACCATCTCCAGTGAAATAAGAACTATTCCAAATTCCAAATTTCTGCTGGCAGTGAGATTTACCCAAATGACAGGAAGAGATCAACAAGATTAGGTGATAGGCAAATGTTGATGCCTGTTGATTGTATAGTTTATTCAATAATGCATTGTTTGTTTTTCATTTATTTTATGTAGGTAAGGGCAATGGTGCTTCTGAACCATTTCTCCATGGTAGATGAAGCCCATTGAAGGCATGAAGAAAAGCAATCATACTGTAACTGAATTCATCCTGCTAGGTTTCACCCAGGATTCTATGATGCAGCAGATCCTCTTTGTAATTTTCCTCATTGTATACTCTATGACAATGGTGGGAAATATCACTTTGATAGTATTAATCTATACAGACTTCCGGCTGCATACTCCCATGTATTTCTTCATTGGGAACCTGTCTTTTCTGGATCTCTGGTACTCCTCTGTGTATACCCCCAAAATTATGATGACCTGTGTCTCTGAGGACAAGAGCATCTCCTTTGCTGGATGCATGGCTCAGTTCTTCTTCTCAGCTGGACTAGCATATAGTGAATGCTTCCTGTTGGCTGCCATGGCATATGATCGTTACATAGCCATTTCTAATCCACTGCTCTATGCTCAGGCCATGTCTAGATGTTATGTACATGTCTGGTTGGCATTTCCTACATTGGTGGTTTTGTTAATGCTATCATACTTACTAGCAATACATTCACTCTGAACTTCTGTGGGGATAATATCATTGATGACTTCTTCTGTGATGTCCCACCCTTGGTGAAGCTGGCATGTAATGTAAAGGGCAGTTACCAGGAGGTTCTCTATTTCCTGTTGGCCTCCAATGTCATCATTCCTACTCTACTAATCCTGGCCTCCTACCTCTTCATCATTGCTGCCATCTTGAGGATTCGGTCTACCCAGGGCCGACTCAAAGCCTTTTCAACCTGTTCCTCTCACTTGATTTCAGTTACCTTGTACTATGGCTCTATTCTCTACATTTATTCTCGCGCAAGTTCCAGCTATGCCCTGGAGTGGGACAAAATTGTCTCCATATTTTACACTGTAGTGTTCCCCATGTTAAACCCCATGATCTACAGCCTGAGGAACAAGGATGTGAAAGAAGCCCTGAAAAAACTCTGCAAAATGACAACTTCCTGAGTTTGAGGAAAACATTGTCTTTTTTCCCCAATAAATACATACATGTATTTGACGTGACTGTCATCTGACACTCAAGAGTTCTGTCAAATATTTTCTATTAAAAGTGATCTAGAATATGCTTTTTTCCTAGGTATAGAATAGTCTGATAAGAGTTGAGGCATTTTAGGTTATGTCATAAAGTACTGGGTCTAGCAAAGTGAAATTGGATTAATATTTGAAGGAAAATGTGCCTGTAGAATCAAGTGCTTTTGATTGTTTAATTTATAGTAGAGGCAGTGTTGGTTATAGTGACTTTTGTTTTATGTTTGTAGAGAGGGAGATCTGTGCTCAAATCCTGTTTCCGGCAATGTGTGAAAATGGTCTACATGTTTTTCAGTCAGTCATTCAGCCCTTGCAGCCAATGAGCATTTATTAATCTCTTACTATGTGACCCAGGTACTGTGCTAAGTGCTGATGATATGAAGAAAGGTAAAAGCAGTCCCTGTTCTCAAGGAGCTCACATTTTAATGTTAGGGAAGACATTTTAATGAATAGGTATATACAGAAGTATATAATAAGTATAAAAATAGGTATAATATAATAAATAAGTATGTACATTGTATGAGGAAAGTAGCCTTGGTGGGGAGGACAATAGCGGGTTGGGGGACTGTCTTTTTGGGGACGGTAGTATTTGAGTCAAATCTTTAAGTCAGGCAGGGAAACTAGGAGGGAAATTACTGCAAGCATGGAGGAAAGCTAGCACATAGACACAAAGACAAAAAATGGAGTGTAAGGAACAGAGAGAAGGCCAGTGTGTCAGAAATTTAAAGTATGTGCAGAAGAGCAACATATGAAAGAATGGAAAGGCAGAAAAGAATCCCATTTTGAAGGGCTTTAAATGCCAAAGGACTTTCTTTTTGTTTTGGTGATAATAGAGAACTACTGGAGTTTTCTGAGAGGTGAAGTGACATGCTTTAGAAAAATCACTTGATCAGTCAAAGGCAACTCTCTAGGACTTACCTTATTTGTGTAGTTATTGAGTCGCTTCAATCATATCCAGTTCTTTGTGATTCCATTTTTTTTTTTGCAGAGATACTACAGTGGTTTGCCATTTCCTTCTCCAGGTCAACTACTAAAGTAATATATGGATTGTGATCATCTGTGGTGTTATAAGGTCTTCATGCTGATAACATCATAGATCCTTTATGTAAATCTTTCTATATTTTTGGTATGATTTCCACTTGAAGCCATTATTAATCTGAGAAATGATTCCTGTTAAAATATATTGAAAATGACATCATCTTTTTATTATATATGGAATGGAGTTAATAAAGTTTGAGTTGTTTCATTTTTAAGCAAATACCTTTTCCAGAAAGTATAAATTTGAACATTAATATCATTTAAGGAAACGTAGAAATATTATTTAACCACCTATGAGCAGATCCGAAGGATGGCCGGGAGGATGTTAAAGTAGGACATCAGGATGGCTAGTATGCTAGACAAAACTGTGAACCCCACCACTCCCAGGAGCACTTTCTCATAGACTTGTGCGTCAGTGCAGGACATCTTCACCAGGGGGTACATCACAGAAGTGGTCAATGATGTTTTTCCCACAAAATTTCAGGCGAAATGTATTAGCAGTGTGGGCTATGGCATTCAGGAACCCACCTATGTACGACCCAGCCACTAGCCCAACACAGTGAGACCTGGACATTGCAGCTGAATAGAGAAGGGGGTTGCAGACTGCTGCATGATGGTCATAGGCCATAGCAGCAAGGAGGTAACACTCAGTGTAGGCCACAGCACAGGAAAAGAAAAATTGGGCACCACAGCCTGCCAAGGATATACGCTTGTCCTCTGAAATACAGGTGGCCAGGATTTTGGGGGTGTACACAGATGTATACCAGAAATCTAAGAATGACAGACTACCAGTGAAAAAATACATGGGGGTATGCAAACGGGAGTCAATCCTGATTAAGATAACTAGAGTCATGTTCCCTGCTAATGTTAGCAAACAAAGAGTCAAAAAAGCTCCAAAGAAGACCAGTTGCATCTGGGGGTCAGCTGAGAAGCCAAGAAGGATTAATTCAGTCAAGGTGGTCCAATTCCCCACTTCCACAGACATAGTGGTGGCAACCTTATAGAATCCAAGAAGCATGAAAGACAGATATAGAATTTATTAGTTCATGTGATTTAGATGTGGAATGACCCCAAGGGGCAGAGGGATGGCACAGAGGATAGAGTTTTATACTGGGAGCCAAGAAGACCTGAGTTCACATTCTGCCTCAGATGCTTATCATTTGTGTGACTCTGGGAACATCACTTAACTTCTATGTCCCTCAGGGTCCTCATCTGTAAAAAGGGTATTAAAATAGCACCCATGTCACAGGATTACTTTGAGGTCCAAATGAGATGATGTATGTAAAATGCTCTGTGAAATGTAAAGCAATATATAAATGCTATGTAGCTACTAGGCTTTTCCCATCATTTCATGGAGGAAGAACCTGGAAATCCTAAAATGTCAGACCTTGAAGAGACCTTAGAATATAGAACACAGATATTAGATCTAGGTATAGAATATATAGTGTCTGAATTAGGAAGGGCTTCAGAGTATAATATAGAATGCCAGCATTATGCAAGAGCTTGGAGATATGTACTCAAGCTTTCTTATTTTATAGATAATAAGATTATGTTTGAAGAGCTAGAAAAGCCCTCAAAGGTCTCTTCATTTCTTTCTTTTTTTTTGGTAATTATTTTTTAAAAAAATTAAACTTAAATACAAAATAAGGAAAGGAAACAAAACTAAATACTAAAATAATACAAAATAAGAAAAACAAAGCATTTCCATGTGCACAGCAAAACATGAAAAAGGATTCAAAATATACAGAAACAAATTTCCATTTCAAGAAAGCCTGTATAATAAATACTACACCTTGTATTGAAATTTGTTCATCTTTTCTTCAGTTCGTTGTAAGTTTTCTTTTGTTCTCTGCTGTGTACTTCTTATTTTGTTCTGTTTTCCCCTTTCTTCCTCCACCTCAGAAGGTTACAACTAAATACATATATATGCATATATGCATACATGCATATGTATGTATAAAATAAGATCACATACAACACACATGTATACACATATATGCATATGTGCACACACAAATACATACAAAATGTGTGCATATAACACATATACACATATAATACACATATGCATACACATATACGTATATACATATATATTCATACATACATACACTTCCTACACACATATCTACTTACACATTGATATTCATACGTAGACATATACATTCACCTGCATCTATATAAGACCTTACTAATCTTATTTATCCCCTCTTTCTCTGGGGGTGGATAACTTCTTCCTCCATAAGTCTAAGTCCTTCTATATTTTTCTGAATCTACTAACTCATTGTTTCCTACACCACAACAATATTCCCATCTTATACTGTCTAGTTGTTTTAAATACTCCAAAACAACATTGATAAATATGGCTGACACATAGTGCAGTTTCCCTGTTTTTCTATTTTGATTAAATCTATGTTAGCCTTGACTTTGTCTGAGATCGTGATTACCACTCCAGATCCCTTTTCCCTAACAAATTCTACTCCTGATCTTTATTCTATGTTTGCGCAATCTCTTATTTCCTATCCCTCCCGACTCCTTTACTTTACTTCTACCCACTGCCTTGCCATCCCATTAACTAACCTACCCCCCACTTAGGATCCCTTCTTATTCTCCCATTCCCATTAATCTAAACACCCTTCTATACCCTGTCTTTAACCTATTCCATCACTTTCCCATCTAAAGATCCCTCCCTTATCATTTCCCCTCCTAGTATGTTATTCTTTTATTTCTTTCTGAATTTAGATTTTTGTACTTTTCTAGATATACATTTATTGTTCCCTCTTGAGCCCATTCCCAATGAAAGTAGGTTTCCTGGAGAACTACCAGCCCTCCTCCCCCCACTAATTCCTCTGTGTCTGTTCTTCCTCTCACACATCATTTGTATAAGATAATTACTCTTTTTAGCTGTTCCTAAACAGTTTTACTTTTTACAATCATATCATACTCAGGTCTACCCCAATCTTTTTCTCTTCTTTATCTGTTCTCCATATCAGTTGTTTTTCTTAGGAGATATTACACATTCTCTTCTATTTTTATTGTTAAGATTTTGTTTTATTGTTTCTTAATCTTTTATAAGTTCACTGACTTCCTCTTGTCCAATTCTGATTTTCAAGGAGTTGTTTTCGGCCTTTCTTTCTTAAGATGCTACATCTCCTTTTCTAATTGGCTGACTTTTTTTTTTCATAATTTTCTCATTTTTTCTGGATTATCTTTTTTTTTAGTTTTTCCTCAACCTCTCTCATTTGATTTTTAAAATCGTTTTTAAAGGATTTCTTCATTTCTAACTTTCTAATTTCATAGGTGAAAAAACTAAGGCCCAGAAAGTTGACGTGACTTTATTTTTTGGTCATACAGGTTATTACCTGTAAGCTTTAAGGAAGAGATATGCTGTCAAATTCTGTGAATCAGGAGCCAGCATCCTTTCTGCTCTGGCATACTGAATATACTGAAAAGTGAGGTGAAGTGACTGGCTTAATGTTAATCAATCATTCAATTGATTAATCACTTCACTGATCAATTAATCAATAAGCACTTATCAATTGCATATTACATGCCAGATGCTGTTCTAGGTGCTAGAGCTACAGAGTAAAAGCAAAACAAAAACAAACAAAAACCTAGTCTTTGGTCAAAATTGCTTATATTCCTAATGGGAGAGAAAACAAATATAAAAATCCATCTATGAAAAATAAATACAGAACAAATGCAAAGTAGCCTTAGAAGAAAAGACACTGGTGACTAAAGGGACTGAGAAAGCACAAGCAGGAGGGAATATTTGAGCTGAGTCTTAAAAGAAGCCTTTTTTTTTTCTTAACACCTGAAAGTTAGGAGGGAAAGTATTGCAGAGAAGGGTGACAGAGAGTGCAAAACCATAAAGGTGGAAGACAAAACATCATATACGAGGAGTACGAAGTACGCCAATGTGGCTAGACTTTAGATTATTGGGGATCAACGTGCTAAGGGATTAGAAAGATACCAGGCCACATTGTGAAGTGCTTTAAATTCCATATAGTGGATTTTATATTTGATCCTAGAAGTAATTGGTATTTATTGAGTAAGCTATTGACATGATCGGACCTGATCTTTAGCACAATCACTTTGGCAACATGTGGAGGATAGATCTGAGGGGGTAGGTATTGAGAGACATAAAGCAGGATGACCAGTTAGGGGACTGTTGTAGTAGTTCTGGTGAAAAATGTCAAGTACTTGTATCAGAGTGGTTTGTATATGGAGAGAAGGTACTGGATATGAAAAATATTGTGCAGGTAGCAATAATTTTATTTGGCACATGATTGACTATAAGTAATTAGTAAGGAGTAATTAGAGAGGAGATGAGGATGACACTAACCAACGTTATTAAACTGGACAACTGGAAAAATGGTGGTATCTATGACAGTTAAAATGGAGTTTAGAAGAAGGGAGGCTTTGGAGAGAAAGATAAATAATTCTGTTTGTGTATGTTGAATTTGGAGATGCTTATGGGAAATTCAGCTGGAAATGCCTAATAATTGATAATTGGCAATGTGAGATTTGAGTTCAGGAAGGAGACAAAGACTGGAAAGTTAGATATTTGAGTAACCTGTTATAAAATAGAAATTCTCATGTATGGCCTTTGAAGATGGGTACTGCATAGTTTTTTTCTTTGTAACCCTAATAAGGAATAAGGTGCCTTGGACCATCCAAATTATGGAACCTATAGGAGAAATTTTAGGACTCTTCCACAATCTATATTCTGAGGCCATCTTTTTTTTTTTTTTGGCAAGGCACTTGGGGTTAAGTGACTTGCCCAGGGTCACACAGTCTAGTGAGTATCATGTGTCTGAGGCCAGATTTGAACTCAGGTCCTCCTGACTCCAAGGCTGGAGCTCTATCCACTGAGCCGCCTAGCTGCCCCAACATCTTTAAGAAAGGATGTTTTTTTCAACAGGCACAGTGAAAATGGTTGTGCAATAATTGACTCTTAGAGCATTGAAGCCAAGAGGATACTGAGAGACTAGCCTTTTAGAGATATAAGTGAAAGTAAATATTATTCAGCCCAAATGTTTACTTTTGCAGAAAAGGAAACTGAAGACCAGAATGGACATGTGCCTTTCCCATGATCATGCAGCTATTTAATGGCAGAGCCATGATTAGAAACTCACTCTACTGCTTCCTGGTCCAGTGCCTTTTTCAGTAATAGAATATAAGTTTAAGAAGTAGAGATAGATATTTACTGAAGCACTGTTAAGTGCTTCACAGACTGTTAAGTAAAAGTAAAAGCATATTCACTACTTTAGAAAATTACTGCCTTGAGAAAGTCCCTATCTTTCTCTGGAACATTACTTCATCTGCCAAATGATGTGATTGGAAAAAGATCATGTCTAAACCTTATGATCCTATAACGAACAATGAGGAAAAGATTCACATGCTGGAAAGTGTAGACTGTGGGAATTTAAGTATCCCCTATAAGTCAGCTTGGCTGGGGGGAATGAGTGGTCATCTCTCAAATATTCATCCCAGCCCAAATGGAGGATGAAGCTTCAGACCTAATGTTTTTGCACCCATCAGTATTCCTCCTCACTTCTGGGGGAATACGATAACTACTTCATTGACCAGAAAGAAGAGGGAATGCCAAACCCCAAATAAGTGATGAGATTAGAGCACTTACAGAAGCACATAAGGAAGTCCAGTTTATTTTTAATAGTGTAGAATCTTGATGAAATAAAAAAAAAATAAAGACTTCAAAGGAAATTGTATCCAATGGAAGAGACACAGAGTTACGTGCAATGAATGAAGGTACCTTGTTAATTTCAATATTAGTCTAAGAAGAAACATGGTGAGAAGTTTCTTCACATGTTCTGAATCTAAAGAGCATGAAATATGTGGTGGAAATGACACTGGATTTTAAGCCAGAATGAACCTAGATCAAATCCTGCCCAACTCATTTTATGACAACTCTAGATTATTCATTTTACTTCTTTGAATCTTGATCTAGTCCTATGTAAAATGGGAATAACAATACCTATGTTATCATGAATAAAAAATAATATTAAATGATTTAAAGAATTATAAATAGTGTGTAAACAACAATTTAAGTTTGGCAAAGCACTTTTCTTCATAATCTTATTAAAACAGATAGGGCTAGAATTATTATTCCCATTTTAAAGAAGGGGAAGCTAAAAGATGATAGTTACCATCAACACACAATACAGGGATAATTTATTATTGTTAAAGATGTAATCTGCTCTAGTAAAAAGAGCACTTGATTTGGAGTGATGAGACCTGGGTCCAAATCCTGAGTCTGCTACTACCAAGGTGAGTTGGGATATGTTATTTAACCTCTTTGGGACTCATTCCTTAACTGTAAAATGAGGAAGTAAGATTGAACAACCTCGAAGTTCCTTTCCATCTATAAATGGATGATTTTATTATTCTATGAATGCTTTTTACCATTCATGTGGTCTTGAGAAAATTCCTTCCTTATCTCTCCGACCTTCAGTTTCTTCATCTCTAAAGTAAAATGTAAGATAACATCTGAAAGTTCTTTTCTACTCTGAAATCTTTGATCTTATGGCCCTAAGATTAAAATTAGACACTGCTTACTTGGTGCCCGTATACCAATATCTAGTCTCAGCCACTTACCTTCAGCCTGGCAGGGGACAGCTTGTGAGACAAGACAGTCTGTTTCTTTTCTTGCTCTTCAGCTCTGACATACCTTCTGTTGGACCCATGAATATCTCCTTTTGCTTCCCTCCGAACCTCTCCTAAATAGTCTCTCAGAAACCCACACTTCATTCTCCAAAGAATCAATTAGAGTTGTTCCAGAGTTTGGGGATGACACATTAATTGGGAACTAAGAAAATATGTCATATTTTGTTCAAAGTAGGCTTTTCGTTTGTGAATATCCCTGTTTATCTTAAAGTTGGGAACAATGATTCCCCAAAGGCACTCCTGGATCTCCATTATTTGATTCAGTGGAAAGTTCCCCATCTTACAGTGGGTAGGGGAGGAGCAGAAGAAACCCTGAATTTGAAGACAAATGACATAGGCTCAAATCCTAGACCTAGATCTTCTAAGTAATAGTTATGTGACCTTGGACAAAGCATTTAACCTTTCATATACTGTTTCCTCATCTGTGAAATGATGAGATTGAACCAGCTGACCTAGAGGTCCCACAATCTAGGAAATTGCGAGACCAAACTCTGAATTCTTTCTTTTTTTTTTTTTTTACATTGAAAGTCCTTTTGCAATCTGGCACACACATAAATTGATATGTGCCATCTATTCAGGACACATACCTTCCTAAGCTACCTTTCTAAATCTACCATTCATTATGTCCACTCTGGATTCTAGCCAAACAGGGTAATCAGTTTGGTAACAAACACAATTTTGGATACTTTTTATCATTTATGTTATTGCTTATTATGTTTTCTTTTCCTGAATTGCACACCCATTGCTCTCTACCCCCTTTTTACTTAAATCTTCTGCCTCCTCACCATACCTGTCAAAATTCCACCTATCTATCAATATAATTGGTTCATATGGATGGCTTCATTGCTCTCCTCAACTAGAAATTCAGAGCATTGCTTCCTCTCCTCTTCTTTTCTGGCTCTTAGCATGTTCTGCCATGTATTCTGAGATTTAAATCATTTTGTCTCATACTGCCTTGTTTGATTTCTAATCTGTCCTTTTGCTGACATGGTGGTTTTACTTTCCCTTGGTTATCATATTGTAGATATTCCAGAATTGTGGAAGAGTACAAACTTTAGAGTCATAGGATCATGGATTTAGAATTGTAAAGGACTTTGAGATCACCAAGTCCAACCCATTATTTTATAGGTGAGGAAACTGGGGAACTGATAAATAAGGGACTTGCCCAGTGTTGATATCATTGGGTTTGAATCACTACTGAAACATTAATTTTATGGCTTTTGAAAATTTACTTAATCTCTCAGTATATATTTCCTCATCAATAAAATGGAGATATTTTCATGACCTTCTCAGAAGGTTGTTTTTGTGTAATGAAAATGTTGTAAAAACTTCAAAGTGTAAAATAAATATGAGATATTATTATTGCTACATTGCAGTCCTACCATGGTGTCTTACTGTAATATTGAATTTCAAATAATAAACTAGTATAAAGTAGGTTTTGTCTAGTTTTACAGAGCTAGAAGGATGGGTCTGGTGACACACTGTGTTTTTGTCATTTGAATATTAGCTTACCAATGTTTTGAGAGTTCTCAACTGATTGATGATAGATTTTTTTCATCATCATTGCTATCACAAAAAAAAAAATTGAAGATTTTCTACACCATAGATGGCATGCAATGATCAGCAGTATAGGGGCTACCCACATGGATGAAATCACAGGTCATTGAAGCATTATTGTCTTTATGCACTCTCCTTGTGAAAGTCTTGGTATTCACTGTCACACTTCCTGCACCCACCATCCAACAGACGAGCTGCAATCTACCTTTCTAGCCTTCTTGCACATTACTACCCTTCATTCTCTATTTTCCAGCTAAATTACTTTTTTTAGGTGTTTCTTGATCTCAATCTCTGATCTTCCAATATCATAGAGCTGCACAAACTATCCTTGTTCTTGGAATTCATTCATCTCAAATTTATCTACCTCTTGGAATCCTTAATTTCCTTCAAAGGTCAGCTCAGATGCCTTCTACTCCATAAACTCTTCCCTGGTCTCTCACCTAATTTTTTTCATTCTTTCAGTTTTCCTAGAATGGTTTGTCTGGATCTTTCCCCCTTAACACTTTATATTGTAGCAACCTTATTTGTGTACCTGGTGTATTCCTTCCTTTTTGACTGTAAGTCTCTTGAGGTCTGGAATTGCATATGTGTGTTTCCCCCTCATACTTCCAGTTCTCACTGAGAATGTCCCATCCTTTGAGTAAATGTTAGTTCATATACCTGAAAGAGATGATGCAAAGTGACAATGGATTAGGCACAGAGTTGGATATGAAGAATAAAGTACACATTGGATTGCATTGAGGCTGACTGGGTTAAGGAAATTTTTTCTTTCAATAATACGCTATGGGTTAAATCTTGGAAAAAATCACAATATCCTAATTGGCGTACAGTCACATAATGCATGTTCATGGTGGTGACCTTGAATCTTTTTTTTTTTTTGCCTATTTCAGAAGTCAGGAATGGTATTAATTACTTGGAGAAAAAAATGTGGTTTTTCTAAGAGTATTGATTATCTGGCTGATTCACTTCTGCATTCTAATTAAGTTACTCTTCGGACTAGATCATGTCTGAGGTTCTTTTCAACTCTGAAGATCTGTGATTCTGTGAATAGTATATTAGCTAACAATATTGAATAAATAAGATACTAACATTCTTCCTGGTATTGATATCTCTCAATTTTTCATCTTTTTAACCATATTTCTCCAGAAATCTATAAGATTCCAAGTTCTTTGAGGGCTAGAGTGGTACAATTTTGCATCTATCTATCAGTATATTGCACCACAGAATTTTTGACATAGAGTTTTCTGAACTTGTAAAGGGTACTTTGAAAGGAAAGATAATTGGCCCTTCCATTCATATTTTCATACCAGTGAGTGCTTTTTATTTAAATGCAATGGTCACAGTAGAGAATACAAGACTGATCGCACAAAATGCATCTAAGAGATATTTATCTTTTTCCAACTCAATAAGAGGCTTCAGTAGGCATGGAAAGGCAAAGAATATTCAAATTACTGAACATTTAAGTTCATTTCACAAGTTATCAAGTTTATGCTTAAGATTCTGCAAACGAGGCTTCAGAAATACACGAAATGAGAATTACCAGAAGTTCAAGCTGGTTTCTACAGGCAGAGGAACTAGAAACCAAATTGCCAACATTTTCCGATTATGGAGAAAACAAGAGAGTTCCAGAAAAAAAAAAATCTACTTCACTTCATTGACTACACTAAAGCTTTAGAATGTGTGGATCACAACAAAATGTGGCAAGTCCTCAAAGAGATGGAAGTACCAGGAGATCGTATGTGTCTGCTGAGGAGTATAGCATGGAAGAATGAATTCTAATATTGAATAAAATGTTTGAAAAAATAGCAAAATATTTTACCAGATTCATTGTGTGATACAAATATGTCAATGACATTGAAATTAAGAAGAATTGAAAGACAGCAGCTCAAAATTCATCAACTCAACAAACATTTATTAAGTACTAACTCTTGGTCAGGTACTGAGCTCTGTTTTGAGAATATCAACAAAAGCAAACAGAAAGATAATTCTTGCCTTCAAGGAGCTTATATTTGAATGGGAGAAGAAAACACACAGGAAGGAGCTGAAAATCAGCATCTGCATAAAACAGCAAGCACCACCATCAGGTCATGGCAGAGAAGTTGTCAGTCAAGAGTGGAGACAAGAGTGTAGGAAGGAGCATGGCTGACCTGGGCTCTTTGTCCAAATAGACACTCCAGGAAAAAGTTACCAATGAAGAGAGGCGATGGAGGCAAATATATCCTTCAGGTTGAGAAGATTCCTGGGGAATGTTAAAGAAATTAGGAGAATGAGGAATGGAACTGGGAGAAGAGTGAAGTGAGAAAAAGAAAACTACGAACAAATATCTAATGAACAATGATGCCAAAATTTAAATTAAGTATTAGCAAAGAGGATATAGCTTTGCATCACAAAGAGTATACAATATGACCAAGTCCAACTTATGGCAGGGGTGTAAAGTTGGTTTATTATTAGGAAATCTATAAAATAATTGACAACATTAATAGAAATAACAGAAAAAATTATATGATTACATAGGTTTATTTAAAAAAAAACTTTTGAGCATAAAAGATTATCTCTGTTAAAAAGACACACTAGAAAACAGAAACAGATGAAATGCCCTTAGCAACTTAAATAGTATGCAACTCAAGCAAAGAGTCAGCATCATCTGTAATGAAAACTAACCAGAGTTTTCTCCAATAAGTTCAAGGGTGAAGCTAAGATATCCATTCTCAATATTTCTTTTTGGTATAGGGCTAGAGATGCTAGCTATAGCAATAAAACAAGAAAAAAAAATAAAGCATAGGCAAACAGAATTATTTTTTCAGTTTATTTGATAGTTTACTTAGAGAATTCTAGAGAATTGAATACAATCAATCAAAATAACTTTAGTTAAAGTTACAGTATTTAAAATTAATACAGGGTGGAGCCAAGATGGCAGAGTGAAAGCAGTGACTTGCTTGAGCTCTCCCCCAAAACCCCTCCAAATACTCATAAAAATGGATCTAAACAAATTCTGAAGCAGCAGAACCCACAAAAAGACAGAGTGAAACAAATTTCCAGCCCAAGACAACCTGGATGATTGATCAGAAAGGTGTATTGAGACGGGCTGGGAGTGTGGGCACGTCGGCTGAAACAAACCTGGAGCAGGCTTCAGAGTACTGAAGCACGGGCAGCTGTGGAGGTTTCCAGACTCCTCAATCCACGAATGCCAAAGACAACTTAGAAGGTCAGTGGGAAAAGTCTGTTTCTGTTGGTGGTCAGAGAGGAAGGCGGGGTTTCAGCTCCATTCCCCAAAAGCATGGCCCTGGGGAGGGGGGCAGCTGCTTCACGAGCTTCCGGCCCACAGACTGAGGGGGAATCCAGTGGCTGATCAGAGAGGGACTGCAGGAATCTCTTGCTTTGCCCGTGTGTGGATCTGGGTCATAGTTCTGAGTGGCAGTGCTGGGGTGAGGAGGAGCACTGGCATGGTAGAGCTTGTAGTGGGTGTGGAGAGGAACCCCTCCTCACAGTTACGGGACAGAAAGGAATACTTGTGGTCACAGGCCAGG